AACTTTGACTATTTTTCTGTTGGCAGAAACTTGCTCTCGTCGTGGTGCAACAGAATTGTGGAAGATATGTGTATGCATTTAAATATAACAGAATAGTGCAAGAAATGCGGCAGATTCTTTGCGCAAATCGCAGTGCAACATAATCGCGCCAGATTTGTAGCAGCGCCTACTGCTACCCATACAGCACAAAATATTTTTAAAATATTTTTTAGGAAGATTAAAATAATTTACAAAAATATTTTTTATATTTATTTTATAGCACCGCAGTGGTGTTGGGTAAGCCTTGCTAGCGAAGATTGTCGCGAATGTCATGATTTTGCTTCGCGCTTCGCCGGAGGCCTGCTTATATTAGATCCCAACTAAAATTTACTTGCGAGTTAGTTTTACCATTATGCACCGCCTAGCGGCATTGTTGCAAACTAGCACATACAGCAGAATTCAACAAGAATTACGGCAGATGCTTGCGTAAGAAGTAGAGCAGCAGAAATACAAATGATTTTGGCAGAAATAAACAAAACAAGGCAAATGAGAGCTCGTTCGCGACGATGGACGGGCGACAGTAATAAAATATTACAAATTCAACAAATTGAATTGAATAAAATATATATAACAAAGTAAACGTTTCGGTCCTTGGTTTGGACTCTCGATCCTCAGTAGGTACATATATAGCTGGTCGAGTGAAATGCAGTGGTCACAAGTAGTAAAAAATGCAGTTATTCCGCTCTCCGATTATGAGAGTGTGGATCTCGTATCCTCAACGTGACTGTTACCTTAATTCCATAAAAAGAAATAAATTAAACAAATATATATAAGATATACGACACCATCTCTCCGCGTAACACAATAAGTATTACGCGGCATTTTTTACTACTTGTGACCACTGCATTTCACTCGACCAGCTATATGTACTGAGGAGGGTCCAAATCAAGGACCGAAACTTTACTTTATTATTTATATTTTATTCAATTTGTAATATTTTATTACTGTCGCCCGTCCATCGTCGCGAACAAGCTCTCATTTGCCTTGTTTTGTTTATTTATCGTTATTGAGAGCGTTATGTTTGTTATTTTGGCAGAATATACCGTACATCTGATTTATCAAACTTTTTTCGAAATTTGTAACGCCAAAATAGACCGTATAGCCTACATCTCACATATAACATAAATTAAAAACACCTTTAATAATATTGATGATAATTATTTACACTTTATTTTAAAATATTTATTATAATCTTTTAGATACTTTTATTTTTCGGACATTATAATATTTACAAAATATTCAACGTATATATTTTCAAAATATTTAAATCTTTTTTATAAATATTTTATAAATATTTTATAAATATTTTGTGCTGTCTGGGAGTTTAGCGCGCTCGGCTGTTCTTTTTCTGACGGGCAGATGCTTGCACGCTTTTTTCGCATTTCTGTCACTCGGATCTATACGGTAAAAACAACAATTTAAGTGACATTATACACTTGTGAAATTTTGCTGCAAATATGTTTCAAGAGTCTAGCACACTCGACTGCTCTTTTTCTCACGGGCAGATGCTTGCACGTTCTTTTCACGTTTCTGCCGGTCGGATCTGTACGGCAAAAACAACAATTTAAGCGACATACACTTGTGAAATTTTGCTGCAAATATGTTTCAAGCGTCTAGCACACTCGACTGCTCTTTTTCTCACGGGCAGATGCTTGCGCGTTCTTTTCACGTTTCTGCCGGTTGGATCTGTACTCAAAAGATACTTCCATATTGTTTTCACATTTCTGCTACATGTTTACTTTTAACAAATAGTATAAAATTTCACAGTAGCTTCTTACAGCAGACTACTGCAATAGTACAGTAAGTACTCGTTCAATTACAGATATTATGCACTATACTTTTGTCGCAATTTTGGACTGTTTTCTTGCGCACTTCTTCGGGACGCATCTGAACTACCAAACTGGTTACCAGGGTTGTTACAAAGTACTTTTACCTCGCGGTTTTCGCGGATCGAATTGGCAGTGACAGACTTGGCAACGCCGCAGCGCAACAGTTGATGCGAATCTAACCTCATTTTGCCTAACATCTATTTCTATGTGAATTCTTGTAGAGTTTTTAGTGCATCAAATTCCGGAAAATTGCAATAAGACAGTAATTCAGAGAAATTACATTTTTATAACTATTATTATTTTTATTTAGCAGATAACATTCTGTAATATCCCACAAAACAATTCTGCGTGAATTTTTGTAGATTTTTTAGTACATTTTATTTTGAAAAATGCAATGGGACAGTAATTCAGGGAAATTACATTTTTAAAACTACTATTATTTTTTATTTAGCAGATAACATATCCTGTAATATCCCACAAAATACAATTATGTAGTATCAACTACTTGTATCAATTATTATGTAGTATCAACTGTGTATGTTGGTTTCGAAAATCTTGACGATTCTTCTATTTTTGACGTGTTGACTTGATATACCCTCTGACATAGCTGGCAAGTGATGTAAAAGATGCTGGCAAGTCCAATACGATTCTCTTTTTCGTTATATACATGCCGCAGCGATGTTGGAACGTTACATGACTTGCACAACTCATCGACGAGCAAGTGCAAATCTATTAGTCGACGTCCAGTATTATTCTCAGCTATATTAAAAGGATCAATAGAATTAATAATATCGCCGTTCTAAGCACAGTTCAAGAAAATAAAGAGGTTATGTTGATAGGTATCGCATGTTATATGTTTTATATATCTACCTGGTTTTTGATATGACGCGTGTCTTTGTTTGTTAGCAACAAGAACATTCTCTATTGACTTGATTTTTCTTTTTGTACAAAATCGGCCTTTATATCGGCTCCGAGTCTTTTCAGTCCATCTGCATACCAACATACCGATAGTTTGTTTCTCGCCATTGAAGGGATGACCGGCTATTTGGCATTCCAATGGCGTCATCTCGCCGGGGAACATGCAGCCGGATGGCCCGGGAACCGCCGTACTGTCCCACTGTATATGCGGCAGCTTCTCGATATCGTCGTCCGAATCTACGGTCGTCATAATTAAACGGCGGTTGCGCGACGGTGAATATCTCACTTTTTCTCGTCTTCCTCGCCGTTCCTCCTCGGTCGCTCCTATTCTTCGCGCGGGCACGCTTCCGCGTCGAGGTAACGAGAGATCAACTCCTGACTCGGGTCGGTTGTTACCCCGATCTCCGTGTGCGCGCTGAATATAATCTATGTGACGACGCGAAGACGCGCAAGGACCGGTCACACTGAAGCGCAACGCAACGTTGCCAAGTGTATTCCCGAGAAGTCGTTTGACGCTCTTATATAATAGTTAATATTCTATACACTAATAATTGACGAAGAATATAGCACGTAAGTAGCATCCACAATTCATTATACTAAAATTGCATATAATTTGGGATCGCTGTAATGACATTTATTTCAGTCGCATTTTCGACTCACAAGTAATGATCAAACCTCCTTAATCGGCGGTCATTGCTTATTTAAAAGTTATAAGCAAAAAAGGTTTGAAAAATATACGAATTTTTGTCAATACTAAGGAAAGAGTAATTTGCTAATATGTGTGTATAAACAGTACACATATATGTGGGGAAAGGGCTACCCCTTTTCCCTCGCAGGCAGGGTGGGGGTGGACCTCGTTTCTCCTGAAAAGTTGAAAATCCAAATCGTACAATAATAGACCTCGTATATATAAATATATATATATATATATAATACTTATATATAATACTAGTTGGTTACCCGGGCTTCGCCCGGGAGTCGTTTTTCTTCAAACGACTTCATTTGTGTTTCAATATCCTTAATAAAAAAAAATTCCTTTATCAGGCAATGGCTTATCAGGCAATTGCAAAGAACGTTTATATCCTCGAAAAATTAATTAAATTTTTAAACCGGTTTAAAAAAAATAAATTGTTATTAAAAAATCATACACATTGTGGCAATTAAACCCATCCTCGAAAAATTAATAAAATTTTTAACTAAATCGATAAATCGGTAGATTAATGTAAAAGCATTTCCCGGAAACCCTGTTTCATACATAATTCTTTAAGATTCGGTCAATTATTTCCCGAAAAATTAAAAAAATTAGAAAAATCGGTAACAAAAAACTATACACATGATGGCACTCCTCGGAAAATTCTACCCCTATTTTATATATACCACTTTAAAATTTAGTCCACTAACGAATGAGTAGTTAAGCAAACATATATACACACCAATCCACAAAAATGCTATAAATTGAAAAATATTACTTTTTTATCGACTGAAGTTCAATTCCGTCGTATACATTTCTTTAAGATTCACTCAATTATTTCCTAAAAAATTGAAAAAAATTTGTAACCAATTTCCAAAAAGATCGGTAACGAAAAATTATACACTTTATATCTGTTAGTGGACCGCTCGAGATTTTCGCGCGCCACGCCGAAGAAAGCACAAGAAATAGTCCGCTCCTTTTTGATAATGTAACAAGAGTCAATTTATTTAAAGTTGGTTACAATATCTTAATCTTCGCGTTGCAATATCGCACTCGCTATTTCGCAACTTCG